CCAACACATCTTAATTCACTTTCCTCATTTTTGGTTCTTCAACTGATTCATCCCACATCATAGGACAAGACATTGCTCCCATGCATATTCCTCTCACCATTGCTACTCCACCTATCATGTCTCATATCTCCAATATTTAGCGAGTCATCGAAGAGTGAAATCATATACTGGGTGTAGTACGGTTCAAATTCTCTAAAATTCTCTAAATAACAAATTCATGCTCACAAAAAGTCTATTGTTTATCAAGCTCCAACGGATATATCCCTTATGGGCAGTAGAATGAGCTATGAGCACGCATTGACAACTATGAGATTCAACTTCCTTATTGATGGTCTGTCACAAAACATACACATCCAAACACCTACAATGAGAGAATCCTACTATTATCTCCTTTCAAAATCTGATAATGAGACTTCCAATCCAGCACCCTCGAAGAAACCATATTAAAAAATTGAGCAGCTGTAAAAACTGCTTGCCCCATAAGTTCTTTAGGACATTCATTATGATTATCATGCTTCGGGGAGCCTCTAGAAGATGGCTATTATTCTTCTCCACTACTTCATTTTGAATTGATGTCTATGGACGTGTGGTTTGATATTGTATCCCCTGAGCTGAAGGATATTCCCCAAATATTTTGTTGGTATACTCTGTCCTATTATCAGAGATCTTAATACCTTTATTACTACATCATATTAAGTTTGTAATATCTTGTGGAAGTCTTTACAGTAAGCAAGCACATTACTCTTATTTTTTATCAAATATAATAAAGTAATACGAGAAAAAACAATCAATAAAGGTCACAAAATAACAATAATCATTCATAGAATTTGTAGAACAAGGTCTCCGAACATTAGAATAAATCAAGTTAAAAACACCAGAACTCCTACTCTCAAAGTTGATATAATAGTTTTTAATAAGCTTGCCAAACTCACAAACATCACAAACTTTTTTTTATGTCTTTTCATAAAAAGAAGGATACAACTGGCTCAATAAACTAAACAAATGTATCTAATGCGTCTGTGATGTAACAACAACACATCCTCTACACTTTTAGATTCTCCTACTCCATCTCTCTGCCATAGATGTCAAAGCTGAGCCCATCACCTTCCAGTCCAAGGTACTAGAGTCCATTATGTTCCAGTCCAAGTACTAGAGTCCATTATGTCACGTTCCAGTCTCAAGTGTTCGACACATCCCTTTCTCTTGGAAGATCACCTTAAAAATATCATATGCACGGATGGATAAAAGGTTTACTGAAAAAAGGGGCATGTAAAATATTGGGCAAAACCATATAATTGATACCCCTCACCATACCCTTACCAACTATAGGTTGTGTTATACCATCAATAGTCAAATGCTCTCTAATACTGTTAAAGAAGTATAAAAAGAAAACTCTCTAGCAATACCCGTCATATGTGATGATGCACCAGAATATATTATATATTCAGATGATCCTGTGACAGAAATATAGGCAAAAGCATGTATACAATAAGTACCTTTGTCAGAGTGAGCATACGTGACAATATTACCCTTTGATGATGACTGGTTGGAAGCATCCTCGAACCTATCTCCTGCTGCTTTCTGCTGCTTCTTCAACAACTCTGACAATAATGATCCTCATTGGTAAAAAACACACATCTTTTCCTGCTTTGCTACCATCAGATTTGCCCGGTAGCACCCATTTTCCATCTTTTCGACCATCACGGTCATGACCACAGTCGTCCACCCTGTCCACATTCACACGTCTCTCCTTCCTTCGGTGGCCAGGGACAAGTCTTCCTCAAAAGCTCGGCTTCACTAGTTGTAGCACCTGTGAGTTTCCCGTTGGACACCTATTTTACCTGAGCTTGAGGCAGTCAATGCTGATCTCGCATCAAGAAGTCCACTTTGCTCAGAGTAGAGCTTCAAACAACTCTCTTGTATCATTGCAACAATGGCCTCATTCAATGAAGAGATAGTCGCCTGAGCTAGGAGGACTGGTCTCCTCTGATCAAAGACCAGGTTCAGATGGGCTAGAAAATGCAGTCCTCATCTGTGCAAAGATCTCCCCTTTCTTACACTTTGGACCACCACGACTCAATATCGTTGAGAAGTGACTAAGCTCCGCCCACAACCACTCCAAATATATGACATTTTCATGAATCGATCATCACCTTGTAATACTGTTTCATCTCACTCTGAATCTAAAAAACCCAAATGTGGTTCTCCATTCTAGCATAAATCAAATGTCCCTCACCTTTTGAATGACATCTATTGAGGACAATTGAGTGGAGAATTTAGGTGTAAAGTAAGGCCTGTGTGGTCCTCCACTCATCTCCACAGCACTATCAATCTCTAACTCAACCTTGCCTCCCGTCAAACATCCCTCTAGTCTCCTCCTTATTATAACAGCCTCGATCTGACACAGCCAACTCAAATACGTGGCCGATACATCAAGCTTCATATCCACATAGGGGAGATATAGCTTCACCTGCGTCGGAGCACATGCTGATGTCGTGGCTCTAGTCGAGTTCCTGTATGAGCTCGATTAAGACCTTCAGAACCTTAGAATCTATCTTCTCAGATGCTCCAATACTTTACCTCCTGCAACATCTCTTACTCTTACATCCTCAATCACAAGGATCCAAGTCTAGATCATATGCGACTTTATTACTCTTCTTGACCCAATCTTGATATACTTCACCCTTGACATCGAGATACTTCTCATCAACCTTTCTTTCTCTCCTTCCGCTCCACATCCCATACGCAGAAGTCACACATCTCTCTCTGTTCATTCCTCTTTGTTGCATGCCTCTGTCCTTGCATAGTGCCACTTCACTCCTTCCTCTTGCAACAAACCACAGAAGCCCTCTTCTGCCCAAATCCCTTGCAATATATTTAATAAAGCAACTTCAAACCACTTAGTCCAAAGAACCTTGCAATACAGTTGCGATCAGAGCTTGTTGGGAAGGCGATGGCATGAATGATCGCGAGCCTCCACCTTTGTGACGAAACCATGCAAGACAGTTGCGATCAAAGCTTGTTGGAAAGGCGATGACGTGAACGAACACTGCGATACAGTCACGATCAGATCTTACAGGAAATGCGAAGACGTGGCCGATCAACATCCCGCTCCTTCGTCACCTCGACCCCATTTCTCAATGGTTCCGAGAGGAGCAGCGCTCCTGGAGAAGAAATGTGCGGGAGTTTGTGTAAGCAAGAAGCACAAAGAGAGATCTCGTGTGAGAGAAAGCAGCGGGTGGGCTGGAGAGAGAGAGGCAGCTAGGTTATGCTCTAAAACCTAAAAGAAATAATTGCTCAAAATACTTATATGTACATTCATAACATGGGCTTAAAGAGGATATTACAACAGTTTAAAAATAAACCCCTAGACTTCTTCAATATTCCTTTTTACCTATAGGACTGTAAATAAGGTCCAATTCTCAACAAATCCCATTATGGATTTTTCTCGTACAATGTAGCAGGCCGACTCTTGTGAGCCCCCTATTTGTTTGATTTGAAATAAAATTGGAGTTTTTCATTGCTTTTAGTATAAATATGTTAGTCTGTATAAGATAGTTTTCATTTAGATGCAATTGGAGATTAATTCTCTGAATTTTTTACCTTAGAAGTGATATACCCTCTTATGTTTGTAAGTGATGTGCTTATAGCTTGTTCAAGGATAGGTGATGAATCTTCCACGATATCGAAGTCTTTGACATCATCGTTGACAGTCTTCCTCTTGTTGTTCTTTGAGTGGTCAGCAACTGTATTCCCTATATCACTTCCAAATCCTATTTTGTTTTCAGTTTTCCTCAATCACTTTGCAAACATATTTACCTTATTTGCTGATCCTAAATACCATTTAGGAACCCTAGATAGGTGTCATCAGTTGTCCTAATAGGTCATACTAACAACAAGGAAGCGTTTCTAAAAAGAAATAACAAGGAGTGAACTTGCACAATGGTATTAGCACCAGTTTTACCATTTTACTACTACTTTGTTCTATTCAACCAAAAACTCAACAAGAGTTAAAAGGAAGACAAAGCATAAATATGTTATTTCTAAACAAAGTTGAACACTTTCAATAGTTTGAGATTAAAATAACATAGCACAAAGAGTTTAGAGACAACTTTAATTATTTCTCATTTCACTTACAAGTTACAAGCATAGAATTTTTTGAGTTGCAACAAACGAATAATCATCTATTTACCAAATCTTGAAAATAAATCACAGCGAGAAAACATTGACAATAGTTCAGTCACAAACAAGCCCCATTAAATGATATGCATAAACATGGTATCTTAAAATACATGCTATAAAAAGTAAATCTATAGTATGGAATGAAAGGGATTTGCTATATTGTTGAGACAATGGCCATTGAAAGTTAAAGTTTCTTGAAGGAAAATGGAAATAATTCCACCCAACTGTTTTTCCCCCTTTCAAAGATTTTGAGAAGACAGCATGTGAAGGACTAGTGACGACTAGATGATGGAATTGATGTAAAGTACGCCTAGGACTGGACACCAACCACTAAATTCAAAAGTATAAAACAGGTATAGGTTTGCCTAATGCCATGCAAATACTAGCATGTTGAATACAAAGAAAAAAAACAACAATTCTCTTCTACGGTTTTTTCTTTCAATAAAAAATATAAGAAATTATATTATATTATTGGAGAGAGAAATCATAATTAAAAAAACAAATCTAAAACCAAGCAAAAATAATGAAGCAGTTGAGCAATAGAAAATGATTTTATTTTCCGATCTTTTATTACATAGAAACTTGACTCTATCCATGAGTAATTTCCGCAGAACCAAGAATACTACCGAGGAATGAATTTCTACAAGAGTAACTTGTAACAAAATAGTAATTGTTCATAAGCACCTTAATGCAGTATTTGTGGTATAAGGATGCTTGAACTACTAGTAACAAGGAAAAAATGAAGAATATAAAACCATAAAACAGAATGTTAATTGAGAAAATCATTTGGAAAACCTAGAAACAAAATTCATACTTACCTGTGCCTAGTATGGGATCCAGCAGCAATACCTGCCTATCCGAAATGTCTTTAGGCAAATTTTGATATATTAGCTATAAAAAAAGGTAAAATTTCATCATAGGAGTCAAAATAAATTTGAATAAAATAACAGTGCAGCTCAAACCTGCTGACCGTTATCTCCTTCCCTGTGAATAAGAATCTTTCCAATCTTAATCCCTTTACAGCATGCCCGCAATGCATTCTCCATACTCTCTCCACTGGCAAAAACGCAACAAGTTAAAGAAGCAAACCGTGTATTTGTACGATGACTGGACAGTGTCAACAAGGTTAAGCATAAAGCCATTGTAGCTGAGGAATAATCCCTTGAAATTTTAATTATTTTGTTTAGATCATCAGATGCAGCAGCAGTCTTGTTTCGATTATTGCAAGACTAATTTATGAGTCTCCTTTACCTTTCATTTGGCAAGGGTTTATTTATCAGGTTGAAATTCCAAATATGCTAGCTTTTGCCTACACATATACATCGGTGCCTTTTCTTACTTCAGATCTAATCTGCCAAGTGCTTATGCAGTCTCATTTTAACTTTCAATTGTCTTATTCCTAATGAATGTTCCTTGATAAAAAGAGCATATCCAATGCAGGAAGCTTTTGCGATACCATTCCAGGGATCCTAGAATGTGCTTGGGAAACAGCTTGAGCATAGAGGTGATTGTGAAACAACAAAGGAATGAGAGCAGGGACGGTTGACGACGTTTGGAAAGGGACAAAGGCTGAAATGCGCAGTTTGACAACAATTTTGGGTTGGTGGCCACTGCCCCTGCTAAAAATAGCAAGGACGACGACGACGAAAGAGCGTGGTACAGGCAACAAGGAGGTTCACCACCTATTTCTGAGCCAGAAAACACCATTTTCAAAAGAAAAATGATAAAACACCCCTAAACCATAAAATCAAATGTTATAATGTCCAAAATACTCAAAATAAAGAAAAAGTCTCCAAAATAGAAAAATTAAAATTGCATATTATCATGACCCGATCCGAGGCTTGAATTTTTCAAGACGAGAAAAAACAATTAGACAGTGATAATCAAATTTTTCTATTTTCATTTTATAACTAATAATTATTTATCTTAAAAGAAATAAAGAGCAATGACAAAAAAAAAATTCACGCAATTAAATTTACTTTATTTTTTATTATCCACATCTTCTATAAATATTTTTTCTTCTATTACTCATATTTTAATCAAATAAATAAATTTGAAATAATAATTTAAAACAACACTGTGCTAAAAAAAGTCATCGAGTATTCAAACTGATAAACTATATTAACAAGACGAATAAAAAAATAATAAGCATATTAGCGGATCAAAGATGGATCAATTTAGAATAAATAACAATTTATTAATCAAATAAGACAATTCAAATAATTCCATAACATTCCATTATACTAAACTATATCATTTTCTTATCTATAACATTTTATTTTTACAATCATCATATAAGCACCAGGTAAAATTGTATTAGTTAAAGAATATCAATATCAATATCATTTTTTCAATTACGTGCACAAATATTTTTGCTTTTCCCCGCTACTAACATAAAAAATTAAACTCCATCATAGTCAGCATACATATGCAAGCATACAATATAATCCATATCATTCATATGCTCATCTCAGTTAATTATATATTTATGTCATTAATTATTACGTGATAATCATTCAAACAAAGACAACATCCTCCCATCTGGCCTCACACGATTCTTCCTCGCCTCCTTGATTACCAGGGCATAGATGTTGTCAGCTTGCATTGCTTCGACCCCTTACACACATTTCTAGCATTCTCTCCATAGGATCCTGGCTGTTTTGTTGACTCTGGCGTCAACAGTAAGGTATGAGAATGGAAGCAACCTTCTTATATTTCTTCTTCCTTCTCATTCTCTGACTATCAATTTCCTCTCTTTCTGTTCAAAAGAAAGGATAGACTCTCGATTAAAAACCCCCTTCGATTCTTAAACCTAACCATAGCAATAATTGACCCATAAAGTCGATTCGATTCTTTTTTTTTCTCTTTTGTTTAAATAAAATTTTAGTTATTACAGTTGGATCCCTTCTTCCAAATGATGGCTAGCTCGAGAAACATTGGTCGATTGCTTGCGTGTTATCCTTAACTTAATACACAATCCTATCTCTTATCATTTTTCCTCAAGCCACTCGATCAAGTCCTTTATCTTCTTTGATTACCCCAGCTACCCCTTCCTGGGAAATCAAAGTCTTTTGGCTTCAAAAAGACATACCGCTACTTCTACAATGCTCGTTTATTCTCACTACGGCTTCCCCCCCCTCTTGTTCCCCTGTCATCTTAAAAGTTGGTTTGGCTCCTCGATTTGTAATGCTGGCATTACTAAGGCAATAAAAACGGGCGTTACAATCTTCCCCTCTTATAAAAATTTCAACCTCAAAATTTTTAGACCTCCATAAGCCACTTCTCATTAAGCAGGTAAAACATGAACCATTCAAAATTTTTCATTAAGTCTAAATTTCATTCACTAAGATGAAAAATATATACAATAAAACAAAGGGCCGATACAAGATAACTCAGTTAACTTCCCCCCATGAACTAAAATAAGCCAAATAATAAGTGTCACCACATCATGAAAAGTAATATAATTAAGAAAATACACAACAAAATACATAACAAAAGATAAACAGACCGACACCCCATAGCCCGAAAGAAAACATAACACTCATCAAACCCTATTAGCATTACGATCAATAGGTTCTTCAGGATCACTATGTGTAAGAGCATAAACTCGAGGTAGATCTTGGAGTCTTGGCCGACTCTGAGTTGTAGCTGAAACTGTAGACTCCATAATTCTTTGTCCACCAACAATCTTCTGCGAAAGTACTTCTTAATTTATGCTCTTCAGAGGTCTTCTAGTCAAATGAGGGCAATAACTAGCTATTTGACCAAGTTGGCGATAGTAGTAACATGCCTTATAAAGCCCATCAAACAATCAACCTTATGTTGCATTCCACATTTAGCACAAAAGATTACAGTATAATGAGTCATGCACTATGTAATCCACCTAAACTGAACTTGGGCTTCTTCCCATTATATCCCTCTGATTGACGTGCATGCTCTCCTTCACCAAAGGTCTTCCTCTTATACTTTTCTCTACGCTTTTGAGTAAGCTGAAAATCAATATCTACTCGTCTAGCCCGCTCAGCTAACACTAAGCAATCATCAATCCCCAAAAGCACCGACATTTATCTAATCAAATCTTTCAATCCAGAAAGAAACATGTAAAACTTCTCTTCTACAGTAGTGATTAGTTGTGGTGCATATATTGATTGTGCAAGAACTCTGCTTCAAACTGCATGACTGCCTTCTCTCATTTTACCAACTTTATAAACATGCCTTGCACTCGTCTACAGGCGCATAAAATCACAAACAATCCTAAAATGCTCTACAAATTTCTCCTAATTTACTATCATGTTGGGTATGTCTCAAAGCCTGTCTTGACGCTATCCACACCACCAACTTTTGTCTTCTCCATCTAACACAAATGTACGAACGACACCCTTCTTTCATTGGACATGTCATCTTGCCTAGTATATTTTCTATCTACATCGGTCGATTCTTCGCTTAAATTGGATCTTCAAGGACGTAGTCTTGAAAGATATTCAAATATTTATCCACAACAATAGTCTCACTCCCACTAGTCTACGGCCTAGACTCCTGAATCAACTGTGTCATCAAACCCATTATCTAGGTCAAGACATTCATGTTCACAGTTATTGCACCGGTATTTCCTCGTTTCCTATCACATTTTCCTCTTCCACAATCTTAAGTGCATTCATTTAGCTGACTTTAAATTAAATACCTAATTAACATTAACTTAAATTTTTAATTTTGTATTATTTATTTGTAATTATCATATTGGATATTTCATCAAAATTACATTAATTAATTCTAAATTTAGTCTCCGATATAATTTTTGTCATGATCCGACCCGGAATTGGATTTTTTTAAGATGAGAATAGACAGTCGGACAGTAAGAATCAATTTTTCTATTTTCATTTCTATAACTAAAAATTAATTATCCAAAAAAAAGAGGCACTGCAAAAAAGAAAATAATTAATAAAGTTAAATTTATCTTATTTATGATTATTTGTATCTTTTATAAATATTACATCTTCTATTACTCATCTTTTAGTCAAATGATTAAACTTGAAATGATAATTTAAAATAATTACAAGCTATAAAAGTCAATGAAAATTCAATCTCCTATAGTATAATAACATGAATAAGAAAGCAATATGCATGTTAGTCGATCACAGTTAAATTAATCTAGACAAGTAATAGATAAGTAATAAAAAAAGACAATTCAAATAGTTGCATAAAATTCAATTATATTATATTATATAATTTTTTTATCTATCACATTTAAATTATGCAACTGTAATAGGAGCACCATCTAAAATTATACAGTTAAGGTACATCAATATCAATATTCATTATCAATTATGTACACGGGTACCTTCGCATTCCATAGTACGTTTTAGGGGACTTTTGACTCTTCTTTCCAGACACGTACTCTATAAGAAGATATCTCTCCCCTTTTCTCTTATAAACCCCCTAGTTACATTATATAAAATGAGTCACAGAGCCCAAGAGTTCCCTATTTCACCACTACGGGGCAAGTCTATGTGTGTTCATTCTTTCTTTCTTGCTCTCTCTTCACTTCTCCCTCAAGGTTCCTACCACTCTGATCCTAAGGCATGCCTCACAAAACAAATATGGATTCAACAGTACTAACATAATCATCCCACTGTTTGGGGCATCCCGACAAACTCGTCTGGATGCATGCGTATGTCGAAATCTAATAAATCTACCTTCACTTCAAGATCACTGAAAATTTTTTAATGGAAGAGATTCACTTTCTCCCCTTGATTATTTTTGGCTATAGGTACCCTCACCAAATAATACTCTCTCAGAGAACAAACCTCTATTGCAGTTAGAGGATTTCCCATTGCATATCCCCCATAGTGAGTTATTAGACACTTCGCTGAAGATTTCTCTTTAAGGCATATCACCTTCTTCTCCCGATCAGATTTTTGGAAGACGTAGAATTATAAATTAATGGTTTGTTGAGGGCTTAGGATTTGATAGTAAGTATCAGGGTAAAATTTTGGTGAAGGTAGGAAGGTTGAATTTTAAAATTTTAGGATTGGAGCTATGAAATGCAGTAGAAATGGTTTAGCTAGGATGATGACTTTTTTTTTTTAATTCTGAATTTGGTGGAAGAAAGTTAAATTCCTAATTTAGGGTTTATCGGGCTCTAATACCAAATTATATCATTCTAGGGTTCATAGAAGGTATTTTAAAACCTGCTTTAACAAATAATTTGTTATGAAATAACAAACGATTGATAATAGGGGCAATCGACAGCATTTAGAAAGGGATAAGAGTTGAAATCTGTTATTGGATAGCATATTTGGGTTGTTCAGTGGTTGTCACTAATGAAAATAACAAAGACAACAAACATAATATGGCCAACGGAGCGAAGAAGATGAAACAACGTGGTAGGAGCAGCGAGGAGGTTCGTCATCTATTCCTGAGGAAGATACATGCACTCTTTCAGAAAAAAATAAAATACAACATTCCTAAAACATGAAATCAGTATTACAATATTCAAAATACTCAAAACAAAGCAAAAGCCTCCAAAAAAGAAAAAAAATAAACATATATATAATCTTATGCTAGAAAGAAACTTCAATTAGAAGAAAAGAAATAGGAAGCAAATAACAAAAGGCAATAATCCCGCTGAGTTTGTCAATTAGATGAATTTTTTCCTATTCAACCCTCTGCAATCATGTTTACATTGCAAGATTGAAGCGAAATCATGATTCCCGAGGTCGCAAGGGTTTGACATATTGCGGAATGCAGAAATTTTGTGTCCCATGACCCAAGCTCCCACGTAATTCTATCAATATAGGACCTAGGAAGGTTAATATATACAGCCTTAACCCAAATATCATAGCGAGGCGATTATCATGGCCCAAACTCATGATGTGACAAACTAATGATGTGACAATATAAAAAGGAAAATTTATATATGTAGCACACAATTCTTATTTATTTACATATCTCACACCTATGCTTTTATATTTACATGCATAGCACTTTGGTACTTTATGCTTATGCAAGAAATTGAGTATTTTACTTTCTAAAAGCCGTAATAATGCTATTTTTGACGTGATATTAAAGATGAGCGATTTGTGTGTAAATATGAAAGTTTAGGTGTGAGAAATGTAAAGGCTTCTGTGCTATGTATGTAAATGCTCCTCAAAAAAACTGACCACTACTCCAAGCCTACCCTCAAGCTTCCTAGAAATACAAAACCTCAACAGATGGAGACCAAATGACTATCAAACATGGTCATTTTAACCTCATCCTCCAAGGTTTTAGATCTCTGCATTTGACTATGTTTATAAAGCCCAAACTAAGTATAAGAAAAGAAAATATTGGATTAATGATAGAACATTACTAAATAAAATTTAGAATAAACTATAAACAAAAAATGTATGATCTGTATTACTTCTGAAAGCTTAGATTATAACTGTATGTGACGGTCATTTTCTTCAATCCAACTTATATGAAGCTCTTTTAGTTATAAGAACAATATTACTACTTGCCAGCCCTCCACGTAAACATGCAAGGTCAATAGGTTTGCAGGTTTGCAACTAAAATCAAGATAAACTATGCCAGAAGATGTTACCACTTGAAGGAATTTTATGAATTTTATGTAGGAAAGAGTTCTCAAACCACATTAAAAATATATTTTGGAGAGGACATTATTTTTAGAAAAAATGTATTGAATTTTGTTTCATGCATTTTTATCATAGACAGCTGGAAAATAAAATCACGAGGTAGCGGCAACATGATAGTGATGAATATTGAAAATGCTCGAACTTTCATATGATAGTAATTACTCTGCATTTTTTTTCTAAGGATATTCAACGTCATTCTATTGTGGTCATCTATAATATTAATGCAACTTTTTTTTTCATTGAAAATTTTCTCCCTTTATTTACTCAGTTGCTAGTAAAATAGTAATTGAATGCAAAGTTATGATTACAATAAAAGAGAATATTTAGATGAATGTGTGAAAAATTAAGTACGGGTTAAGAAATGATTATATTTAGGATGATGGCACTCTTATCTATTAAAAATAAAGCAGTTAAATAAACTTAGGTAGTTTGAACATATGTAGTAAGAGCTAGACACAATCAATAAAATTGGTAGATATAATTAATGTAAAAACATGAAAAGAAAAAAAATGAGTAGACTGAAAGTAACATAGATAGACAAATGTATTTATATATAGTAGGTCTAACACTTAACAAGAATGAATGGACCATGTGACTTTATAAAGCTGAACCAAAATAATCAAGGAAAAGCTAATGACGATTATCTAACCACTTTTAAAAGCACAAATGAAAAAATAACTGTTTAAATAGTTCGTGCATTGCACAATTGTTTATTTTAAATATATGAAAGAATATAAAGCAAAATAAATACTAAAATTTTGGAAACAAAAATTTTATTAGTTTAGGATTGAAAATTAGACAATAAAGCACATATACATTCAATTCAATAAAGAATAAGCTGATACAACAATACCTTCTAATAATTGAGATACCACATAATCTTTTGCAAAATTCAACCCCCGTGTATACAGATCCTATGTAAAGCAAAAATGATACCATGATGAGCTCAGTAGGATCCAACCACATCAAAAAGATGAAGTAATAGTAAATTAATGCTATAAACCTACAAAATATGAATTATTGAAAACCAAGTCCCTTAAATGTATTTAATTCATACAAGTCCATCAATTAGGGTTGATAATCCTCATAAATTTGTAGGCATGCATGATGAGGAAGTTGAGACAAAATAAAATGAAAGCATGTTATGGTATATTTAATCATGACTTTTTTTCCCTTTAAAATACATAAATCATAAAACAATGTTGGCATTTAAGAAAGCATAATGCTAACAAGCCTGAAATAAGGTTAAGCAAGTTGATTTGCCAAATTATTGCTTCATTAAATATCCTAGATTAGTTCAATTTTTCTAAATTAACGTACTATGTTTCCCTGCATAAAACTAACCCTCAGTAAATGTTATTGACGTAAGGCTACATATAACAATTACTCAAACCATATATTAACCGGAGCTCCAATCACCAGGTACACCTTTTTTAATTTCTTCATTTCTCTAAATATTAAAATCATCTATATAAGAATATCATAAAAATAATATATACTGGTTAGATTCAACCCATTATTGTTTACCTTTCCCAAAGGGAAGATAAGCAAGCAACAACTTCCTTCATGAATTTCAGCAACATCTACTTATTAACCTATGCTCTTCAGCATCAACACACATCCATAGATTATGCCAACATCACCGCATGGGTGTCCCTATAAAAGAAAGCCAAAAGCTCCAACATTAATGATCGATACAAGAACATCATAAGACTACCATATTGCTTCCCCTCATATACCAGCACGTTGTGGTTAGCTCATCACTTTTGTCTGATGTTTTGCTGTCTCTGGAGAAGAAAAAGTCAAATCCAAACTTTTTAAGTAGGCTTAGTGCGATTGAGGCATGTCTACGCACATTCATCCAGAAACATAAGTAGGCTTGGTATCCCCTACCACTAGTAGCTTTGCTCTTCGGTTTCATTCTAGGACACTAAGCAAAAGTCAATACCATTCGATGTTTCATTAATTCTCCAGAAAATCGTCATTATCCTTGTGCCAATGGGGAGATCATATCTCTGTCATCACCTTCTGTAGATGTTATTGTCGGAAAACCCACCTGAGTCACTTGACCTACATCTTCAACTCAATAGAAGCAATAAAACAATTCCACTCCAATGCTTGCATGGCCATATAATAAATGAATACCACATAGATAGAGAAGGCCATACTATCAAATAAATTTAGGGTAAATTAAATGTATGTAGCGGGGCCTCTACTTGAAACTTAATATAGTCAGCAATGTCAACAATATGGACATTGGAAGAACGCCATCTTAATTTAAATCAAAAATGGGATGGCCTGGCATGCCATGTCTGGACAAAAGAAGGCCCCATCACCCTACAAAGCCTATATGTAAAGGCCTACTAAAATGAAAAAAAAAGGCAATCGCTTGGATGTTCCCCTAACCCAACCCGGGAACGGACCGGAGGGAACCGCAGCATGAGGAATGTCCGCGTCTCGTCGCAAGGCGCATGCGTTTGAGTTTTAAGTCATAGGACGAGCTTTGGGCAGGCAGTGCAGTCCGAGGCACAAGGGTCCTAGTACTACCCAGGTGCGAAGAACCCCGGAGGTGACTTCAATGAGCAGAAATGTCACTCACTGGCCTAAACGACGAGCAAACACTCGAACGTGAGAGCAAGGGATCACCAAACGAATGGACGAGCTCCAAGGAGGGAGGATAAAGGGGGGCAAGAACCATGCTTTCAGAGATGACAGATTTTCACTCTGAACTGCGAGAATAACTGACTCAGTCGTGCCTCCAGGGGGCATTCTCCACACGAGACGGGGCCAAGCCCAGAATGTATGGGTGACAGATTGGCCATAGGGGTACTCCGGGGTATACACCAAGGCAACAATCAAACATACTAGCGCCAGTTCAACGGATTTATTGATAGTCAACTCAATTATTATGAAGGGGAAATGAAGTTGAGCGAAGAGAAGTGATCAAATCACAAAGAGAGATGAAGCAAGAAAGTACAAAGACATAGACCGAGACGAGAAGAGTGATCAAGTGGCGAGAGAGAGAGTATCTATGTGTGTTTAATAACATTTCTTTTACAATTTTTTGTGAGAGGATAAAATTTAGACAGCATCACATAAAAATTTTGGTTGAAATTTAATATATGATTAGAATCTTATTTTGCCGAAAAAGAAGATGATTAATATTATTAAACAAGAACTTGTTAGATCAAAAGAGTATTTAAAGAAGTAAAAGAAATAATAAGCCGAATTTTATGTGAAGTTAGACTAAAAATATAAATCAAAATTAATAAGAATATATTAAATTTACTTATGCAGAGTTATATGTTTTTATTTTATAAAACTTAATTTGAAATAATAAGGATGTAAAGAAAAATACATTACATAAACAAAACGAAACAAGCTGAGATCAATATACTTACCCCATAGCAAGATATTAATAGATAATAAGAGCAAATCATTAAAAAATGAAATTTAAATAAAATCTATGAACATACATAATTTATATGAATAATTATAAGTATTAAAATAAAAGTGGATATTGGAGACTAAGATATAATACAAATATTAAGAGATTAAGATGGGCTAAGAAGCACAAACATTTCTAACTAAAGAGTCGTGCAGTATCAGACAGTTCCCTGACATCGACACTAGCCCGACATGCCCCAGACATGTGTCGGACACGTCCTCAACGTGTCTGATTTAAATAATATTAAAATAAAAAGGGACACGTGTCTTAAATTATTGAATTCAAAAAATTTTAAAAAGTTTATTTCTAAACATTTATGGCATATATTTATAAGTAAAACAAAACAACAACAACAACAACAACAACAAAGCCTTTATGTCTACATGAATCCTTTTTCTCCATTGCGTCCTATTTAGTGTCATATTATAATTTAGTTCTAGTAAATTAAGATGATTTTTAATACAATAAGCCCAAGTCTTCCTAGGTCTACCTCTGACTTTCTTAACACAAGTCAAATCTAAAACATCTACTCTCCTAATCGGATCATCAGATGATCGACTTTTAATGTGACCAAACCTTCTAAGACGCCTTCCTCTAATTTTGTCCATCATAGGAGCTACACCAACCCTATCACGGATATATTCATTTCACATTTTGTATCTAAGTGTAAAGCCACTCATCCACCTAATCATTCTCATCTCGTCAACACTTAACTTATTATTATGCTTCTCTTTTAAAGGCCAACATTCAGCGCCATAGAGCATTGCAGGTCTCACCATCGTCTTATAAAATTTT